GAACCTGCCTGAATAAGTACATATTTTAAATTTATTTAGGATTTTACTCTAACTGTTTAGATTTTTTGGTAATTTGTGAAGATTTCTCGACTAAAATATATGGATACAGTGGGCGACAAGAGTATATGGACAGAGAATTTTTCGCTATGACTGCGAAGCTTTTTATTTTCATATCTTTTTGCTAATGTTTTAAAAAAATATTGTTGCAAAAAAATCTCTGTACGTAGACTTTTGTCGCCCACTGAACATTCATGGCAATAGGCTTTTCTTATTTTTCGATAACAATCGGCCGTATGCACAAAAACTAAGCAACTGCTTTTTCTTAAAATGTCATACGATTCACTTAAATTTATTTGAACAAATCGAGTAAAAGGTCTGAAATTTTAAGAAAAAGTATTTCGCTAGCTTAGAGTGAAAAGTTGCTAAGTCCTATTTTAAAAATTTTAAAGGAGAGGAAAAAAACGTCTTATAGACATACAACATTTTGGCTGTTTAAAGCGAAGCAAAACTCCATATGAATCAGAGGGATTCGATCTTTATTAAAAGATTTCGTACTCTTTTGGCCTTATCGGATTTTCGGTGCATCTTTTGGACTTAGCAAGGTGTCCTTTTATTGAATATAAACGAGAATGAATAAAACAAGTACCTCTATCCTTTTCGAAACAAGGCATTTTTAATTTCTGTACCCTCCTGTATTAGAAATTGAGTTTTCAGAAAAGCTGGACTTAGCAACTTTTCACTCTAAGCTAGCGATTTGCTTAATTTTTTTTTTTTTGCATACGGCCCAATATCGAATTACGAATATTTTCGAAAATTTTATCCAGCATAATTTGATTTCAATTTTGTAGAGGTTATTTCCAATGTCAAATTCAGAACTTACTTTGTCTGGCAACTCTGGCAACTCTGCCACTCATCATTTCACGGTTTTAGAGCCCTAACGTTGCTGGGAAAATCCATTTTCAGCGCATTCTAAACGCATAGTAATTGACAACGCTCTGGGTGAGTACTGGAGTTAAAATTGCTGGTCGCTAATGGATAAAACCATCAAATAAATACATACGTACTTTAACGCATCTACGGGAATAAATACATATTGGTGTTCATGTACATACATACATACATACATATACATATATAAGAAAGAAGAGTTGAACGCATCCCTGTGCATTTGTACACATGTGCATAAATTCCTAGTAGCAACAATTGAAGAAGATTCTGCTGACATTGAAGCGGAAAAATAGAGAAAGTATTTAGCTCTCATGGGAAACTCCGATTTTGATTTTTTCTATGTATCTACTCGTACATAAATACATATGTACATAGTATGCAGCTAGTTAAATTGACTGCTACTGCAGTAAATTCCCACAGCACATGAGTACATATGTATACCCATGCCGCATAAGCTATATACACATGTACAAACATACATACATATAGGCATATTAACGGTCGCCTTATTAGCATTCCATTGCGTTTTATTTTCCTCAAATACGCACATAATTAGCACTAGATATTTTTAAATTTGTTTTTAAATATTTTTTTTTTCTAATTTTTCAGATAATGTCGACTCGAACTACGACGACACTCGCCTATCCAGCAACGACCACGCCCACTCCTCCTATCCTTACACCCACTATGTTAGATACACATTTAGCCACAACAATCATAAGAGCAGTGACCATGCCCAATTCGAGTACGAATACAAGTAATATTGCTAACCATAACCGCCCAACAATCACCAACCACAACACCAGCACCCCCACGACCCCCACCACTACCCACACACACCTCGACACAATGCACACATATGCGCAGAGCATAAGCTGGCGACTGCAGCGATATTGCGCACAGGCCATAGCAGCAACGAGCAGCAGGCGAAGAAGAAGAAGGCGTGATGATATTAACAACAACAACAACAACCACCACAACAGCAGCAACAATACAACGAATTGCAATATCAATAACTGCAATCAGAGCAACTACAGCAATAACAATCACATTGCGTTTAATACGCTTTCTAGTGCGGCACTGGATGACACAGATCACTACGATCGCAACAATAACACTAACAACAACAATAGCAGTAACTATAACAACAATACTTCCAGCGGGAGCAGCAATATCAACTTAATTAAAACTATAACAACAACAATTTCACCTGCAATTCAACTATTAAATGCGGCTATCCGCACTCTGCTGAGTAGCTCTACAAAAGCCGCCACCTACATCGGTGCGTTGCTCGTCCTTACCACGCTATGTTCCTTCTGTGCTGCTTCACCCTGCGATCTACACAGCTGGTGGGATCCGCTCAAGGACAAATGTATTACTTGCACTGTGTGTGAGGGGGATTTGATACCATTGCGTCCGTGTCAGTTGCATCGTGACACGATATGCGGCTCCATTTATGATCTGAAGATCGATTGGGTGGTGCTGGCGAAAACGGAACCCAACTGGAAGGAGGTGAGTCGTTTAAAACGATTTAAAGCGATTGAATGTGACTTGTAACTGTTTTTACAATGAAGAGTAGCAGTCAGTGGTAAACTGATGTGAATGTGAGCTCTCCATTCTAAGAACGCCCCCTAAACAAAAATTACCCCCGTAGTTCAATAATTCACTGA